GTTATATATATTTTCTGAAAGCAGACACCTTATAGAATAAAATAGTGGTAGTTCCAATTTTTTATGTTGCATGATATTACTGCAAAATTATAGTAAATAATACAAGTAAGTTAATTTTAGGGCACAAAAAAGCAATAAATTACCCTATTTTTTTTTGTAAAATATAAAAGATGAGGTTGCACCGAGTAAATAGATATCCAACTTTTCAAACCTTAAATTTGTATGCACTCGTGAAATGGTGACAAACTTCAGTACCCTATATTTTGTATAGGTCAACACTTTTAAAGCTCCTCATAGGTCATCACGCTGCATTACATTCTTTCCCGACTTCCATGACCGGAAATCTCTCAACGGGACCAGGAAGTGACATCATAATGTCACTCCGGGCCAGGACAAGAAGGGGAGGGGAGTGGATGTGTCTGCTCTCCTCCCTCCCCTCTAGCCAACGATGGTGAGCCGGACCCGGGCCCGCAGATGGGCAATCAGAGCCCGGGAGACCTAACGGGGGGGGGGGGGGGGGGGATTGGAGAGAGGCTGGCACTGTGTGGAAGCAATCGGATGGCAGTGCTGCCACAAGCAATGTTGATGCAGAGATCTCTCCCACTGTTTTATTGTCCCCACCCCCTGTCAGAATACACAGATCAGCTCTTGCAGCAATTGGCTGTGAGCTCTGATCGAATGCTGGTTTTCCAGCATGCCTGTTCGACAGAAGCTGGTCGTTAAACCAACCTCTGTTGGACAGACAGAGGTACACGTGTACCGAAATTCAGACAGTTAAGCGGATGTGTACTAGGATGTAGACTGTATGTCAGCTTTAAATTGAGTGTACTGATCGATTTTCTTAATGTCACTGTTTCATACATGGAATTAGCATGCACTTGGTAGCAGGAGTTGCTCTTACACATATGTAGTCACAGTCCTCAGGTAGAAGCAGCCATATTATATTGGTAAAAGGTAAACTGTAGAGAAAACGGTCAATTTCTATAATGCACGTGTAAATGAATACTAGTCATAACTATTTTACTTTAGGATAGTTTATATATTTTGCTTCCCTGACCTTTAGAACACACGAACAAACAGAGGTGGCTGATATGAGTACTGTATGTATCCAATCAGCCATTAGCACTAAACCTCTTTGGCCTGGGTGGTGTGAAGAATTAGGTTTCCTGGGATGGCAGGGTGTAGTTGAGTGTATGAATATGCTTTTGTTTTCACTCCTCCTTGCAGCAGCTGGGAAAACAAAAAGTGAGTTTAATACGAGCTGTGTAATTACAGACTGGATGCCCAGAGAAACAGACTAGTGCTGACCGTGCAGGGCTTGCCGCACAGCGAGAGCAGGTGTTCTGATCTCTACACCAGGGGGGCGGCTGTCTTGTTGTCTTTGGATAAAACAAGAATTTATCCTGTCCCTCTCCGCCACCTTGAGTGCTTGCTCCCTTGCCATCCTTTATATTATATAACACCCAAAGTATTGTCAATTGCTTGGTATGTGGCCATTATTACATTTGTTAGGCCAATGTTCTTTAAACTTTGACCTTTTGAAAAAGAGAATGTTACGCTTCTTAAACAGCACAGCAAAATTTTCCCAAATCATTTACTGCTGTTGATGGTTGTAATGAATTCCAGCACCTGTAATACAGTTACTGACAGTCTGAATAGTAGGAGCCCTTCACTGATAGTATTTAAATATAGAGTGATGAGGAACAGCAGCTTAGTTTTGTGCACTTTTTCAGTCCAGTTTTAAATCTGACAGGCAGCAAAACCTGTCTAATCTTGTAAAAGCAGATACCTGTACCAGTACAAAGCTTTAATGCTTCGCAAAGTATCTTTTGTGACCTGTGGAACGCCCCGAATCTGGAGACACACTACCTGCAGTTGTGGACTTTAATTGCAAGTTGTCGTAGCCTACTACACTGGCACCCCACTTTGAAACGGGCCCCTCTCTGTTGCCACTAAGGTATTGCCATTGTGTTGTTAGGTATAGGGGGCATTCCAGAGTTCCTCTTGGAGTTTTTAGTGAACAGTTGCAGCCTGTGTATCTTGGGTTCAAGGGCTGTCCCAGAGACATAGTAGCTTTTCAAGGAATTAAAGGTGTATGCAGTACTGTTAAGGCTTGGGGTGAGTAAGTCTTGTATGGTTACTTTAGCATTTTTCTTCATACAGTTAAGTATAATTCATTGTGTATTCGCATTATCTTACTATGACAAAGTATTGCATTGTTTGATTCAGATGTTTTTTCCAACATGTATCTCCTTTCATTTGTAAAAAAAGAATAATGCACAAATAAAATAGTGGGATTTTTTTTGTACTCGCCATAAAGTCTTCCTTTGAAGGATACAGACCGGTAAGGATTCATGACTGTAGCATTATAGCGTCATCTCCAGGAGTAGGACAGTAGGCATGTAAACAAAGACCAAGGAACAGCCCCTGCTGGTGCCCAAACCCCCTATCTGCTACAGGAAGCTTCGTAAGTTACTAAGCAGTAAAAAAAAAAAAGTCCAGAGGAGTGGGAGCTTTGTACTTCAATCTTTGTTCGTTGAAGGCCTGGTAAGTAGTCTTGACTGTAGGCACAATCCAAAGCAGTGATCATTGAAGGGCAGTAAAAACAATAAAACAACCCTCTGAAGGCAAAAAAACAACTTTAAACTACTGCCACAAAAACACATTTCCAAAGATGCAGCAATATCCTTCTTGTAGAACCTATAAGTGTGAACAGATGACCCAGTAACCACTTTACAGACCTGAGCGATGGACACCTGATGATGCTAGGCAAAAAACTGAACTACCTGTAGAAGATGGGGGGCTCGGCCACCAGTAAGGGCTGTCCGTAAGCAGTGGTTTGCTTTTATGCCTAGTGTTCTACTCTTGGAGGTAGCCCTTATAATCTGATGATCAAGATTCCTTACCTGGTTGTGTCCCTCAATGAGTGAATGAGACAATATGATTATTCTGATGTTTGTTAGCGTGTTTCTGTCTGTAAAGTATACTTGCCACAAACCTGGTCAATAACTGTATATACTAAAAATAAATAAATATTAATTGCCAAGGATGGCTTGTGCAGGGAAAGTCATGATTTGCACTTAAATTCAACTTCCTATATCTCTGAAACTACTTTTCAGAGATCTACTTTCACAGTTTTTACAGCAGGTAATCTCTGCTTATGCATTTTTTTCATTTTATGCTCAGTTTGAATTTCCTGGGTTTTAAAGAATGCACTGTGAAATGAAGCTGTTGGTAGTTTAAACCTTTAAAAGTAATAGACTTTCTAAGCCCCAACCACTGCCACATTTATTGAGAGGACATCTGTGGCCATTAGGTGTGCTTTCATTTGACTGGGATCCAGTGGGTGGGGTAGTACCCAGCTATGTGATCAAGAAACTTCAACCCTCCAGTAAGTAACAAGATAAAAAAAAAAGGACCAGAGAAACAGACACAGAATATGCTTTCTGGTTAACAGAAGTAATATTAGGCACCATTTAATGCCAAATCCATACACAGTATATTTGCTGGCTGACAGGTTTGCTTTAAAGCCTTACTCTACTAGTATAGGAAATAAAGAGACACAGACCACTATAAAAACCTAAAAATCCATCCTGTGCCGTCATCTTTAAAGGATAAATTCACATTTTGTAACATGTTGCATTCTACACCCGTATTTAGGATGTAACATACAAGATCTTGCTATATAGCATCTGCCCACATACCCTGCTCCCCCCTAATGACAGTGGGTGGGGGATCATCATCCTGCACCCATTGTCACAATTTTAAAGCAGCACAGATCATTTATTCACATAGATCTGTGAATGAAAGACCTACAAGTCCCATCTGTGACTGCAGCAGGCAGCTGGTGAGCTCTATCTTAGTTCATTGTCACCTCCTGCACTTTATTAACTGCCTGCCTGTACAAGTAGACAGCTGTACAGAGTGTCTACAGAATTAATAAATGCACATTTATTTACCTTCAGAAACGTGCATTTATTTATTTACAAAAAGTGAACTTTTCCTTTTTAAACCCATCCTTTCCTGGTATGCTGTGTTCTTTAAAAAAAAAAAAAAAAAAAAAAAAAAAAAAAGACATACCAGCCCAGATTTAGCATTTTCCTGTTTTGCAGGCTAGCTGGTAATCCTTCTTTGTTTGTGATTGTCCTGTAGCAATCCTGTTTTGGTGTTAGGGCCTCATTCCCATGCCACCTCTTCAGAAGGCTGCCTCTTCCTTTTCAGGGCAATGCATGTAGTTCCCTCGGCCTCCTGGAATATGTGATAAGGTTATCCTAGGGGGCAGTTGCAGAATGTCATATCATTCTGGCTTACACTACCTGAATAAGGGGGGGGGGGCAGAAATCCCTTCTCCCCCTTCCCCAAAAACATAGACTTCTGGGGGTGGGGGGGGTGGAGACATGGCTTTTATAAAAGAAAATGTGTCGCCTTGAAAAAGGGGACCATAGTGTCTCTGAAACTTTGTGGCTTCATATTTTCTTTTGCACATGCTACAGTGTGTTGGCATTACAACTAAAATCTCGGTAAAGACTTTAATGAACCAAGGTTTTAACCCTCAGTTATGGGTACCTTCGATCATAGTACTGTATTTAAGATACAATATGGGGTATTACCTTCTTGATATTGATGTACAGCGTAAATGGCTGAATCCATTTAGCAATTGGTACATGACCAGCTAAAGGGAATATGAACTATATCTGCACAGTTGGCAGGTTTGCTGGAAGTTATGCCACAAAGTAACCCTAGATTCCCCAAACTTTTGAAACCACAAATGTAGGGTTTCTATTTCCTTGTTATATTATTTGAAAGGGTTGAACTGTATGGGGAAAAACATAATAATAGTCTCATAGTATAACTTGTCTACAGATAGGGAAAGGAATGCAGCATTTCTGCCATACAGCCGGGTGGAGATCATACAGATTTCATAATGCACACTACATGTGTCGGTTTATGGGAAAACATTTGTTCCCCTCTAATCCCTTAACTCCATTTTTCTCAAACAGTGTGGCTGACAACGCAGAATCACAGCACTCTGGTGACAGAGCGCAGTGCGGTGCCTTTCCTACCTGTTAACCCTGAGTATTCTGCAACAAGGAATCAGGTAATTTGCTGCCACCCCTCAATGTCCTAGCGTTCTCCTTTTTTTTTAATCAGGTTTCATTATTTTGTAAGAATTGTCTACTCATAACCTTTTCTTATCTATTATGTCTGTCTAGGGGCGTCAGAAATTGGCACGCTTTAATGCTCGCGAGTTTGCCACTCTGATCATAGATATCCTGAGCGAAGCCAAGAGGCGGCAACAAGGCAAGACCTCAGTGATCCCCACAGGTGTGGTAAATAATTCAGTGTGGTTCTAAAATAAAGTTTTCACTAGCCACATAGAAAAAATGTTAAGAAAGGTGTTTACATTGTGATTTGTTGTACAATGTTTGCAGGGCCTTGCAGAGAAAAGAGGAGGGAACGTTTAAATGTTGGTTTACTACTTAGGTTTTCCTTCTACTTTAGCCCTACAGATAGTGACCCGGCCAGGGGCGGACTGACAACTCATGGGGCCCCCGGGCAATAGGGGATCATGGAGCCCCTGTGTCCTTGCCCACACTCAAAGCACACCCAAAAAAGCCTATAAAAGGTACCAGGGGTATTTCATGGGGCCCCCTACTGACCCCAGGCCCTCGGGCGGTGCCCGAGTGCTCAAATGGTCAGTCTGCCCCTGGACACCGCTACACTTAATGTAAAAATGTTGCCGTTTTCTGACAAAGAAATACAGTATGTCATCGGGAAACTAATATCGATAAGCTAATGGTGGGCATTGTTTTAGTTTTTTTGTTTTTTTTTTAACATTAAACCTATCTATGCTGCCATTGCCATCCTCTCCTTCTGAAAATGCTAGTTGTCTGACTGTCACTCCTTTAAGTCAGTGGCCCAAAACAAGTATGCAGATAGGAGCTCTGGCTTCACTGGCTGCATGCATGTTGTGGTTCAGTGACTCAGAAAGCTGTGACTGCTTTGGATCTTTTTATCTAACCATATATCACAACCTAATTTTTTTTTTTTTTTTTTTATAGACAACCTTGACTATTCTTTGAGGAACAACTCCAATGACTGTGATGACCAGCATGACTATGACAGTGTAGCCTCTGATGAAGACACAGACCAGGAGCTGCTGAGGAACTCCAGAAACAACAGAGCCAGGGTAGGAGAGTCAGGTGATCTCTCATGATACAGATGGTGTGCTGAGGCTAGCTTAGCATATGTAAATGGATAATTTACTAATATGGTAAATTTGTATTTGTAGGGGCACAACTCGATTGTTTCATCTGCTTCTGTCAAAGGGACATGCTGCAAAACATTTGTCAACCAGTGATTGTAGTCAGTTAGCTTCAGCCACTGATGAGTATATTCTGACAGTAGTGGAAGCTGCTGTCAAAGTACAATGTCCTGATGGGGAAGGGGAGGGGGATGCCTCCATCCACCTTGTTTGTGTCCATGAAGCCTACTGGCTGAATGGAAAAAAGAACTGTCTATGGCCATCTTAGGATCTTCTGCAGCACAAAGCGAAAGAATATCACCAGCACAGCATGGATCTGTAAGATAGGTCTAAAGCTTTAATCAGCAATCACATTGTTACAGCAAAAGCAACATTTCAAAGACTTACAGGATCCCTTCTTCAAGCATGTGACAAAGTGGTCCTTTGAGGCTCGAAAACCTTGTTTCTGCTGTAACTGTGTGATCACTGATTAACCGGTTCCCTGCTGCCCTATAGCTGAACTGCTGCCGGGCGGCAGGGCTGCGTAAAATCACGTGATTTTGCATTTCCGGGTAGGGGGCCTGCGTGCCGCCCTACTCGCTCCGCCATTGGCGCCTACAAATGTCGATCACCGGGTCCTGGTCGGATAGTCCCCACCGGCACCCAGTGATTGCCGAGGAACAGTGACGGGAGAGGTCTGTGTGTAAACAATACAGATCTCTCCCCTGTCAGCACTGGCATGCTGTTTTGTATTGCTCTGCATAGCAGAAAAACACGCACAGCACACACAGTAAAACAGTACAGTTAACCCTTTCATCGCCCCAGATGTTAACACCTTCCTGCCCAGTGTCAGTACAGTGTCCGTGCTTTTTATTAGCACTGATCACTGTATTAGTGTCATTGGGATGTGAGTGGCAGTTAGTTCACCCCCAGTGTCAGCCCACCACAGTCCCGCTATATGTCGCTGATTGCCGCCATTACTAGTATGAAGAAAAAAAAAAAATTCCAATATACATACTGCCTTTTGTAGACGCTATAACTTTCATGTAAACCAATTAATTTAAATGTATTGGGATTTTTTGTTTTTTAGCAAAGATATGTAGCAAAACACATTTTGGCCGAAATTTTATTTTTTTTTATTTTTTTTACTGGATCTGTTTTATAGCAAAAAGTAAAAAATATTGTTTTGGTTTTTTTTTTCAAAATTATCGGCTTTTCTTTGTTTATAGCGCAAAAAATAAAAAAAAGGCAGAGGCGATCAAATACCATCCAAAGAAAGCTCTATTTGTGGGGGAAAAAAGGACATAAATTTCATTTGAGTGCATCGTTGCATGACTGTGCAATTGTCCAAGTAAAGCAGCGCCGTATCCCAAAAAACGGCCTGGTCAGGAAGGGGGGTAAATCCTCTGGAGGGCACATGGTTAAAGCTTTGAACCCATTTTGAAGATCCATTGTGTGCTGGTGATATTCTTTCACATTGATTGTCTTCAGTTCCAGACGATAGTTGCTGCAGCACCTGTCTACATATACAGTCATTTCTACAGGAACGTGTGCATTAGGAATATTATGCTGGAATCTTCTGTAGCGCAAATCACATTTTTCTGTGACATCTGCCAGAATATTATGGGAAGTCCCTGACATAAACTCTCAATAGGGAAATGTAAAGCACTATCGACCTGACAGAAGTATATGCGTTCTCTATCCAAAAAGAGGTAAAAAAACCAAAAAGTTTTGACAGAGTTCCACTTTAATGTTACTTGAAATGGATATACCTAAAGTCTTTATGTATAACATAGCAAAAAAAAAAAAAAAAAGTTAACTACTTAGAAAACATAATAAATATAAATAAATAAGGGTTCTAGCTTGTTGGAACTTTCCATCACATTTGGTTCATAGAAACCTTTTTCATAGAAACGTTTTTATGTACATTTCCACTCCATGCAACGAGACCGTATTGTTTCCATTATGTAGAGCATGGATTCCTCAGACCTGTCAGATGGCCCAATTACTTTGCAGGAGTATCTGGAAGTAAAAAAAGCCCTTGCAACATCTGATGCCAAAGTACAGCAGCTTATGAAAGTGAATAATAACTTAAGTGAGGAGCTACGCCGACTTCAGAGGGAGGTGAGAAAAGCCTACTATAGTTTTTTTTTTTTTTTTTTCTTTTGCTTAGGCTGTGATAGTGAGCTTTCCAAGTCCGCTTCTGCACATGATAGATTTTCTCTGCTCGGTTGAATGGTGGCCACTGTCATTCAACCCACTTTTGTGAATCCAAACTGTTATGGATGCACCACTTGGGGGCGAGTCCCTGAGGCAATCTGGCCTCACAGTGCATGCTGACCTGAATGTTGCTCACATGTCGTTGCTGCTATATTTTAGGTTTCTTTTCCTGCAGGGATTTTGCATCATAGGTACTGATGTTAGCTTGTCATTCACCTTGTGTTTAGGTTCTCTTTAAACTGGCCATACTGCCTTATTGTCATACAGTCAAAGTACTAAACTGGCTTTTTCAACAGATTAATTGCAAAAGGAAAACACTTGTGTGCCTTGAGGCTAACCATATTTTTGGTTGACCTTTATCATGGTTGGGAAAATTGAGTGATCCTACAGGGAAGATTGTAGAGGTCTGAAGATCTGATTTTGTCTTATTCCGTTAACTGAATACACCTAATAACTGTGGCTATAATTAGTTGATCCGGCAGCTATCAGTGTAGACCAGCCTTTCTGGACTAATTTCAACACAGAGGAACCCTTGCAATAACCAGTCCAAGGGAACCCATGGTTATAATTACTATATGTACAACTCATGGTATGATACATTGGTGTGCTGGTCAGTGGGAAGAACACTTCTTACACTTGTGGTCACTGGGAAAAATTACCCCCTTTGGAGTAACACCAGGGTTTCATGGAACCCTGGTTGAGAAAACTTGGTGTAAACAGTGCAGCTATTGGCCTACAATTCCATAACATTATCTTCAAACTAATTTTCAACAATCTCTTTTGCTATTAAAGCATCAGCAGTGCTGTTTCTTTGCTTTTGTAATATATGCATAAAGATCAAAAACTATACGGTTAGCAGCTTGACATCCATAGCATTTTTGTGTTTTAGTCATTTCCAGGCAAGCACACACTACATTCTTTTCATAACAGACCACTTTCTGTCTAATCTCATAAAAATTGGTCCTTTGTAATAACTTGTATTCTTTTCCCACAGATTCAGAAACTGCAGTCAGAGAACTCACAGATCCGACATCAGACAGGTCCATCACCCCCTCCTCCAACAAACCCTGAGCGAGCTGAGCACCCACTACCTGCTGCCCACCGGCGAGACCGGCAAGCCTTCTCCATGTATGAGCCGGGATCAGCACTCAAACCATTTGGACAATCCACCGATGATCTTAGTAATCGACTTCAGCCATTTCACTCAGGGGTAAATATAAGTAAATGATAATCAAGTAAAGTATGAGAGTTAAAGCAGTAAACTACAGTTTTGTTACAAACACAATTTCCTCTAGGTGATCTATATAAATTTCACAAATTGTAGCTCCCGCTGATGTCAATCACTGCCAGTCAGCCAATGAGGAGAGTGAGGGGGTGGGGTCAACCCACGGCTCCATGTGTGAATGAACACACGGAGCAGCGGGTGCCCCCATAGCAAGCTGCTTGCTGTGGGGGCACCCGACAGAAGGGAGGGGCCAGAAGAGCCTGCAGGGACCCGAGAAGAGGAGGATCCAGGCTGCTCTGTGCAAAGCCACTGCAGGTTAGTATAGACATGTTTGTTATTTTCAAACCGAAATTAAATTTACCTTTAGAATCAATTTAAAGAAGATCTATCTCCAGAACAAAAAAAGTTATTTAAATCCCTCAGGGAATCCTGTGCACATAGCACCTGTCCCCATTTAAAAAACACTCCTTTTTTGTCATTGCAAGCTGTAGCTCCACCCCTCCTGAAGTCTAGAAATATGGGCGTTTCCATGGGGGAAAGAACGGGGAGTTTGAGTTACAGCCAGCCCTGAGCCCCACCCCCACTCCATCCTGTAGCTGCTGTCTCCTAATCGTTCCTTGTACAAAAAATAGTAAAGAGCGCCTTAGTGAAAAAACCCAACAAGCTGCTGTGCACAAAATAGGTACCAAGGACCTATGATAATAGACAATAAATACAAAGGAAGTGCAGCGCTAGTGAGCAATAGTGAGTTCAAATATACATAAATTAGTGGTAAGTCACTAATATGATAAATGGATAGTCCCGTGAATACACATAAATAATAGAGGTGACTCTGTTATTCGTGAGGAGGTGGTGTTAAAATGCGCACTCACCGGACGCGCATTTTAAATGCGCATTGAATATAAGATCCTGCTGTCAGGTGGTGAGCGATACCTCCTCTCTCGGGTCCTAAATGGGTTGTTCTACTCCACTGGGGGTCCCTTTAGAAACCGTCCTTACTGATGGTCTGGATAATGGATGGCAATCCGTTCCTGGAGTGGGTCTGCGATGAGTCTGCGGACTAGAGCACTCCCCCAGGGGGCAGCAAGAACACTCCCATAGTGTAGTAGGTTTTAACCTCAAATTTATTAAAAATTGGTAATACAGAACGTTGCAGACAATAGTCTGTGAGTAACTGACCAGCTGGTAAGTGAGAGTATCCGCCGGAGCTCCACGTTGCTCCGGCGGGTGTGTGACGTCACGGCGTGGTGTGGCTCCTCCTGACGCGTATCGTGCTCAAGCACGTCCTCAGAGGGGGGTCGCCAATCACGTCGTGTCGTCCGCCGTTTGTTTTTATACATAAATTGAACCGCACATGTGCAGGAGACCACGGCCATTTTGGGATAGCGCAGAACGAACTGCGCCTGCGCAAGGATGACGGGCGCCATTTTTCCTTAGTCCCACGATATAGGGCAGATTCAATGCCTATGTGTCCCCAATAGGGGAATGTATCAGCATTCTCCGATGGGGGTAAGTGTACATAAATAACCTATACAGTATCCGGAAGGGTATTGTGTAACATCCATGACGATCTATTCATGGATTAAAAAGGGGGGGGGGGGGGGAAACAGTCCCGTTACCAACCAATATTGGCGGTTATCAGAAAAAATCTGTTCAGTTGGAAAAGGTCAAAAATAACTTAGTACCATCAATCTATCCATAGGATAGTACTTTATCAAAATATAAATCATTCTATCATCACAAGGGGAATGTATCAGCATTCCCCTCACAATGTGCATTTGGTACAAATACCGGTCTGAATACGGTCTGAAAAAAATTAATAAAAAATTAATAAAAATTAATACAAAGATCTCTGATAAGCGATATATACATAATCCATATCTTATTAGAAAAATTGTATATATCCCATTCCCATGGACTTGAGGTCAGTGCACATGTGCAGATATCACATATCACATAAAACATAATAAAATGTATATAATCAAAATAAAAATGTAAAAATAAAATAAAAGATAAAATCGATCTCATCTGTACATATCTCTTATGAAGAGGAACGATATAATCATTCCTCGAAAACAAGGAGACAGAACGTATAAAATATACATATATAGCGAATACACTGATCTAAAAGTTATAATCTATAGAGGAATCCATCATGATGATAACAGATGGATGGTATTCAATTATTTTCAATGAAACAATTGATATCGACCTCAATGTTGAGGCCATTAGGTTTTAAAGAGCGAAGCTCATAGATCCATTTCATTTCTAATTGAGAGACGGCACGTCTCTTATGTGTTCCTCTCCAGTGGGTTTTAATTGTATCAATACCCGTAAATTTAAGAGAGGTGGGGTCCATATTATGAAATCTCTTGTAATGATTGGAAACTGAATGTTCTTTGTATCCCCGTTTGATGTTATTGACATGTTCCCTCAATCTATCTCTGAGCCGCCTAGTGGTGCGACCGATGTACTGAAGCTTGCATGGACATTCTAATAAGTAGACCACACATTTGTTGTTACATGTAATGAATTTATCTATATTATATCTTCTCCCAGTTACTTGTGAAGTAAACGTATTTTGTCTATATTTCCTGGTGTTATCACATTTGCAGATTATACACTTATTGCACGGATGGTATCCCTTAAGATCATTAAACAGAGAAATTTCTTTGGGTGGATCAATCACATTAGGTGCTAAGTAATGTCTTAGATTGGTGGCCTTACGAAATACTACTATTTCTGGTTTTTCTGGTAGAATTTTGGATAGCACTGGGTCTGCCAGTAGAACCTTCCAATTTTTCTTGATAATATGGTTGATAGACCCATATTGTTTGGAGTAGTTGGTGATAAAAGGGCATATTTGGCCCATATTTGGCAGTTCGTTCTGTGCTATCCCAAAATGGCCGTGGTCTCCTGCACATGTGCGGTTCAATTTATGTATAAAAACAAACGGCGGACGACACGACGTGATTGGCGACCCCCCTCTGAGGACGTGCTTGAGCACGATACGCGTCAGGAGGAGCCACACCACGCCGTGACGTCACACCCGCCGGAGCAACGTGGAGCTCCGGCGGATACTCTCACTTACCAGCTGGTCAGTTACTCACAGACTATTGTCTGCAACGTTCTGTATTACCAATTTTTAATAAATTTGAGGTTAAAACCTACTACACTATGGGAGTGTTCTTGCTGCCCCCTGGGGGAGTGCTCTAGTCCGCAGACTCATCGCAGACCCCACTCCAGGAACGGATTGCCATCCATTATCCAGACCATCAGTAAGGACGGTTTCTAAAGGGACCCCCAGTGGAGTAGAACAACCCATTTAGGACCCGAGAGAGGAGGTATCGCTCACCACCTGACAGCAGGATCTTATATTCAATGCGCATTTAAAATGCGCGTCCGGTGAGTGCGCATTTTAACACCACCTCCTCACGAATAACAGAGTCACCTCTATTATTTATGTGTATTCACGGGACTATCCATTTATCATATTAGTGACTTACCACTAATTTATGTATATTTGAACTCACTAGCGCTGCACTTCCTTTGTATTTATTGTCCTAATCGTTCCTGTTTCGGTTTACACAAAGTCCAGAGCTGCAGCCTGCTATTCAAGGCTTAGAGAGAGTGGAAACTGTCAGCTTGTAAATGATTGAAGACCACTTTCATTCACAAAAACACAAGCTGACAACAGCACTCATCGGAAGCTACAGTATTCTATAACAGCCAAATTGTAGTAGCTGGCTTGTGCTATTATCCACTTGTGTTTTTTTTTTTTTTTAAGTGAAAGCCCTTTTCTATAGCTGCAATTATTCACAACATAAGCTGACCGTTTCCATTTTCTCCATGTCCCTGAACAGCAGGCCGCAACTCCAGACTCAGTGTAAATGGAGAGATGAAGAGAACACAGTGATGTTCTGTCTGGCAGCTCTCGCCCTTTCCTCCTGAGCTGTCACTCGTAACTCCATTCCTCAGAGTTGTTGAACAGCTAGATTAGTGAGCAGGACTTGCTAGGCGATAACACAGCTTAGCAACCCCTGTACAGACTTAGATGGGGTCCAAAGTGTTCACAGGGTCCACTGAGGGTTTAACAAGCTGCTGCTATGCTGACAAAATACCGTATTTGCCGGCGTATAAGACGACTGGGCGTATAAGACGACCCCCCTACTTTTCCTGCTAAAATGTAGTGTTTGGGCTATACTTGCCGTATAAGACTACCCCTCTTCCAATGCACACCAGTGGGAGGAATAGTGCCCCATCATTGGTATTAGTGGCAGGAATAGTGCCCCATCATTGGCATTAGTGGCAGGAATAGTGCCCCATCATTGGTATCAGGGGAGGAATAGTGCTCCATCATTGGTGTCAGTGGGAGGAATAGTGCCCCATCATTGGTATCAGTGGCAGGAATAGTGCCCCATCATTGGTATCAGTGGGAGGAATAGTGCCCCATCATTGGTATCAGTGGGGGGAATAGGTGCCCCATCATTGGTATCAGTGGCAGGAATGGTGCCCCATCATTGGTGTCAGTGGGAGGAATAGTGCCCCATCATTGGTATCAGTGGGAGGAATGGTGTCCCATCATTGGTGTCAGTGAGGGGTGGAATAGTGCCCCATCATTGGTGTCAGTGGGGGGGGGAATAGTGCCCCATCGTTGGTGTCAGTGAAGGGGAGGAATAGTGCCCCATCGTTGGTGTCAGTGGGAGGAATAGTGCCCCATCGTTGGTATCAGTGGGAGGAATAGTGCCCCATCATTGGTATCAGTGACACCAATGATGGGGCACTATTCCTCCCACTGAGACTTGCTGACCCTGTTCTCGTATGGTGCTGCTGCAGCCAGCATATGTGGTTGCAGCAGCACCTCTACACAGCACACTTACCTGCTGCTCCGGCACTCAATTTTTGCGGGGCCGCTCGGCTCCGCCCCCTCGCCGGTGATTGGCCGCCTGTGTGCCTTTCCTGAGCTACAGTTCTGGCGGCCAATCACCGGTGAGGAGGCGGAG